TCAGAAGAATTTTATTGATTGACCAAGGAATATTTCAAAGTATTTGCAACACTAAGTGGACCGCAGCCATTTTAAATAGGTCAATATAAATATGCACACATCGAGATCTCTCTTTATTATTTTATTTGATGCGAATCATCTTTTTTTAATAGATATTAAAATCCCCAGCAAACACTAATTAATAATAATATAACATACTCCAGCTTCTCAAAACTGTGCTTGAATTGAAAATTGTAAAAATTCGCATAAAAATATTATAAGCATCAAGACTCATTTTGACCAAATATGGCCTTTTTCATTCATTTGTGTTGAACATTTCTCGATTTTTATTTAATATTGTTTAATAACATAACTGTTAGTGTTAATGTTTGCTGGATCGATATAAGTACCTTATACATTTATTATGAGTTATAATTTGCAACTTGTGTGTAGATATATACGAAGTTTGAAATTAGAATTAATTGTATGTAAAATTAAATCGCATGTAAATTTCTTTTATGTTTTATGTTTCGATTTCCATATATTACTCAGAATTATTATTACTTCCGAGCGGAGTTCGTTCTCTTGTTACGTATGTGTGTTAGCTGACATGCGTTTCGCGATCCAGAAGATTACAATCCATCAAGCTTCAAAATTACGAGACAACGCGTTTCGAAACGGTTCGCATAATTATCTGGACTGGTGATACCCGGGTAGGCGGCCTACGTATCCATTAACTACTGGCCTGAGTACTGATCGACACTTGTCGCTGTTGCTCACGCAAGTTGATGCAAGTAGCATCGTGTCACTCTTTATTGCACAGTACTATGCAACTTGTCACATCGATTGCGTTCCGTATTACGAATGCTTAGCAATTAAGATTAAATATTTAATCAAGAATATCAAGCTGCAGTATTTTTGTAACGATTTCAATTGTCGAAACCACTAATTATGAACTCTATTCATCAATTTAAAAAAATTATTTTACAAAAAAAGACATGTTTATGCTAACATAATTTCTAAGCAAATGCAACAATCGCAAAAAAGCTCCGTGATATAGAAATATAGATCAGAATGTCCAAGCTGAACGAGTGGAGAATTAAGAAAGAACGCGCGGCATTAAAATCACCGAAGAGTTAAAAAAAATTTGCTAAGAAAACAGAATGACAAATGAGCTGTGAGAAAGTTTATAAATGAGATCTTCATAGATCCAACATTCATGAAGAGGAGACAAGTTATGCTCTGCAAGATTGCAAACACAAGTACGACATAAAGAACTTTATAAAAGTATTTGATTGTATTCGTTCGTTTACGTGCGATTATGTAACTAAAAGTAAAAATATCGCGCTTAAGAGCCTAAAATATTCTTATCGAGTCTGCAAATCGTCACCCACACTTTTGCATGACATCTGAAAGAATCTTGGTTTATGTAAAAGGACGCACAATCTTTAAAAGAGAAAAATATTCCTTAAAATATGATGTTTGCAGTCTTTCTGATGGAAAGTCTTGAAATATAAAAAATATAAGTATTACAAGGTCTTAACGACCATGGACAGATAATCAATATCAGTGCGCGAGATCATTTTTGTATTATTACATTAATCATTTTATTCTATATTAAGAATCCTACAAACTGTACGGATTTTCGTAATTTATTAACAAAGCTCATCAAATTCACAAAGACCATCATACGTAAGAAAAGAAAGAGAAGAAGAAAGAAATTCGGAGAAAAATAAAGAGTAAAAGAATAAATGCTCTGTAATAACCCTCGATGGAACAGGCGGGTTGAGCGGAGGAGGATCAGGTAACTCGTGGCAAGGACGTGGCCTAGTCCCCGGCGACGACGACCGGTGTTCGTTGGTCCTTCAAGATGCGAGAGCAGGGGCCCGATTCGATCCCGGCTCGTCGCTCTCATTGGGCGTGGTCCGATTTCTTGCTCAATTTGCGCTCTTCGCGACCGCGAATCAGGTAGCCGTCGAAGATACCGTCACCCAGTTACATCAGTGAGCGGGTACAATTTGTTGTGTGTGTGTGGTGGCGGTAATGTGATGTGATATGGTGTGGGCCTCCAGGGCTCCGGGCAGAGTGGTATAAAAGCCGAAAACCATCTGTTCATTGGTATCATTCGCATCAGACTTGCAAAATCGAGCAAACTACCGATCACCTGAGCAGCAATGGCTTTCAAGGTATTACGTCCTTTTGAGTCTTTCTCGACATAAATTCGACCCACGCCGGGAAAGTACTTTCGATCGATCCTCGATAATTCTCGGTGAAATTCTTCGCAACGCAAAGTTTATTTATGGTTGGGTTCTCCGTAATTACAATTCGAAAATAATAATGTGTGCTCATAATAGTCTTTCTTGTGATATCATTAGTCGACATAAAAAAACAGAGCAATTAACGATATTTGCGGGACGACTCGAAAGTAGCGCGTTTTACATTTTCTTAAGTAAATTCTGCAACAACTTTCACGCTACGAGTTTGCTCGCTCAAGAAGCCTTTTATATCCTTTAGATCGGGTTAATTATTGTTTGCATTTTAAACATTACGAAGAGATTGGAAAAAGTGCATCTTTATCATAATTTTGACTGAGTTTATTTAACTTACATTAGTTTATATATTTTTTTCATATTGTGCACTATTGTATCAATTCTATATATTTGTTTTATATTCCTATGTAATTCTGTATTTTCACCCAATTTTAGTAACACATTTTTTTTCCTAATTTTATTCGATTTATTTACTACGTTTTTCCCTCCAGTTCATCGCTTTCGCCATCCTGATTGCCGCCGCCAACGCCGGTGTTATCGCGCCTGGTACCCCTCTGGCTTACGCTGCGGCTCCCGCGGTTGTCGCCGCTCCCGTCGCCAAGACCATTGACGCCGACTTCGACCCGCACCCACAGTACAGCTATGCATACGACGTGCACGACAGCCTGACTGGCGACGATAAGAGCCAGCAGGAGACCCGTGACGGCGACATTGTCCAGGGTAGCTACTCCCTCTTGGAAGCCGATGGCACCAGGCGCATCGTCGAATACGCCGCTGACCCGGTCAATGGATTCAACGCCGTAGTCCGCAAGGAACCAGCCGCCGTTGCTGTCAAAACCGTGGCCCCGGTCGCCGCACCCCTCGCCTATGCTGCCCCGATCGCAAAGATCGCCACTCCTGTGGCCCATGCCCCTCTGGCCTCTGCTCCTTTGGCCTACGCCGCCCCGATTGCGAAGATCGCTACCCCCATAGCCCACACTCCCTTCGCCTACGCCGCGCCGATCGCAAAGGTCGCTACGCCCGCCTTCTCCTACGCCGCCCCCGCTGCCTACCTCCACTGAATTGTGACCTGATCACCACTTAGGAATGATACTTATCGAATAAATCTCAGTTTTTGTAGCAAGTATATAAGTCTTACGAAATTATCTTCACCTATCTACAATGCATTTTCGTTAATTAAGCTGGACTTAGAAAAAAATCTGACTTCAATTGCGGGATTAGCAGCTGCGTTTCTTATATATATATATATATATATATAGAAAAATCACTTTTTTATTATATATTAGAATTCATTTTCTCAGGCTGATAGACGGCTAAAGAAATATCTTTAGCTATCTTTTTCTCGATGCGTGTGTGTATATTTTTCAATCATTTAGAATAAGACTTGGAATAATTGTGTTTTGAATGTTGTAATAATCATGATTTTCTCACAAATCATTTTTCATTCGTACTTATTGCTTCTTCCTAATTGTCATTATTATTAAGATCTCAATGCTTAAAACTAGTGAAAACACAAAGTGTTGCAATGTCTAATTCCTTTTTATTGAAAATTACTCACACGTTTATCCATCAAATTCAGTAAAAACTGGATTATTTGGTAATTTCAAATTAGAATTGTTTTCATGAACGACGTGCCATGAAATTACATAATTCAAGAGATATGTGCACTCAAATTTTTAAACGCGAGTAATCGGCATAACGTAACGTAATACGTTGTCCAATTTGCTGAAAAAGGGGGGTAAAAAAACCATACGGATCGAAAGTTGTCAAGGAAACGTCGAATTCCCGGGCCCAATTAGTGAAATTAGGTCAGGTACTACCTGCCGCGAGCTCACCGGTGTTATCTCGCCTTTCCGTGACATTACCGCATTACCGATTCACGAGCGTTCGCTGAGCACTTTCTCCAACGAAGTGCCAGCATACGGATTACATAAACGTCGGTTACCACGCCTCGTCCAGCCGGCCCGACACACGCAGCGGCCAGTCGACTCACGCGCATCGCATGTAATACGCGCGTAATGCGTAAAGGCGTGTTGCGTTATAGCCGGGAACCGTGGCCGGACCAGATTCGTACAATGCCGTGCGAACCTTGATCTACTTACCGGTCTGGCGTGGCCCGCAACGCGCAATGTTTCGTGCGTACCTCGGTCTTCTCGCTCACCTTTGGCTACTCTGGATACCCAGCCTGTTATGGCAACGAGAATCAAATCTGAAGAGAAGTCTCTCGCGAATCCTGCGGTTAGTTTATGTGGATATGAAATAGTTAACGGCGTACCTAGAAGACTAAGAGACATGGGAGCCTGGAAAGAAAGCCAACTTGAAATTTAAACGGATTATCAAAATGTTTTCATAAAAATTTATTATCAAAAGAGAAAATCTATATATTTGCTACACGGTACAATCGAAGGCACTTTACCGTTGTCAAACTCTTATTCCTAAATTAAGTGTTGTAACAGCTCTGATAAGCTGTGAATAATTTGAGTTACGCAAAGAATACTTATATCGTGCGTATACAAATATATATTCTAAATAATTCCTTCTATCTTTTATGAAAAGTACACAAAGTAAATTTGATCAACTTTGCTTTTACGTCTTTCACTTAAACAAAATTCCAGAATTTCTCTTTCAACACAAAACAAATAAATTATTTGCACTTATTGCTAAAAAACAAGTTTCATACACCTACGCTAGAATTAAGAATCTTTTTTTATATCACGTAAACGTATAAATAATATTGAATTACTAAAAAAAAAAAAAAAAATCGAACATTTATTGACTCAGGCCTCTTCTCTCTGGTGGTTGTAATCTAGAAAAAACACATATATATTCAAAGCGTTGCAACGCAATGTTTCTGAAATTGTTAAATTTATTTGGCGATATATTACAAACTTTTATAATATTAAAAAGAAACTATTCATTATTTAAAACAGAAAAAAATACTTATATTTTCTCGATAAGAACTTTTACTTACTGATGAATTGTTACATAATCCTCGGCAAGAATGTGCGATGTGTCTAGAGGTGTAAGAAAAGCAAATTGACTTTGTGGATGTAATCTAGTGTGATCCAAAAGGATATCCATTATCACCCGTCGGTTTACTTTGTCCTACAAACAAGCACACGACATAGATAGTTATTTTTTTGTACAAAACGAATTCAAGATATATATATATATATATAAAAGAACAGCTTACCATGAATACATCGAATTCATCGAGAAAGTAGAAAGGTAACTGAATACAATCCCATAGAGCCAAGATGAACGCGACAGTCGAATAAGATCGTTCGCCTCCTGAAAGTGATCTGGTGTCGTTGCCAGACTTTTTATCGTCCCGTGCACTAACATGCAAATCAAGTACTTTGTTTCTGTGATCGATCATCACAGTACCCTGGTAAAAAGAAGTAGAAAAACCATTTGTGAATAAGAAAAATAGAATTAAAAAAATATTTCTATATATCTGTATACCTTGTATTGTCTTAAAGAGAGCACATCAGTGAAAGACTTTTGTACATAAACACTATACATATCTCTCAATTGGAGGAACATTTTCTGTCGATATTTCACTCGTTCGATGTGTTTCTACAATATATAAATATATTGTATGTATTCCCTTGAATAGTTAATAGTTCATAAAAATTTTATAGATAATTTACTTACTTCACAACTTTTTTTCAATTGAGAAGCAAATTCAATGTTCACTCCATATTTTTGCTGTTTTTGCGCCAGTTGTAGCCGTAATTCATCTATACAACCAAACTGATTTTCTATTTCGCGAATTTTATCTTGCAAATCAGTTAGTAAAATTTTTATTTGGTTTACCGATCTGTAAAAGATGAGATATCAAAACAATGTAAAATAAATAAAATATAAATAAAAATTAATTATGAAATAATTTTGAGTGCACACATAATATCAACAAATAATGCCAACCTGATAGTGTTTATCCTAGAACATTTTGTAGTAGCGACAGAAACCGATTTCTTTGTAGCTCTCTCTTGTATTTCGAATTCTCCCGTTGCGCATTGTATAGCTTGACGAGTATCGTGTAATTTTCGAGCAGCACGTTGACACTCACGCCGATGCCTTTCTTTCTCTTGTGTTAATTCTCTTATTTGGTCCTATATAAAAAAAGATATATAAAATATTTTACTTATTATATTCTATATTATATTCTATATTAATTATTATACTAATGGATAAACATACTTTAAGAGGATCAACAACTGTGTGTAAATTATGCCTCAAGTCCCTGCAACGCTTAACTTCCATGTCGAGAGATTCAACGTTCTTTTGAAGTTCTTGCACATTCTCTGTTAGAAGTTTTTCCGCGGCACTTTCCTGCGCTATCTTCTTTTCTATTTCTGCAGCTTCGTGTCGCTATTAATAATAAATTAAACAATGTAGCTATATTGTTCTAAAGAATAAAAATAATACTACTTCAAAATATTTCTAATTACTCACGAAAACATCAACAGAAGTGCCTTCAGTCGACTCAATTTTATCTTTCAGTTCATTAATCAAATTAGTACATTCACTCTGCGCGGATCTTAGCTTGCGGACCGTTGTGCTCACGTTAGTCAATTCGGAATTAGTACGATTTAATTTTTCACGTACAGCGTTACATGCTATGGTAGCTTCCTGCTTTTTGTTTTCCGCTATTTGAAGTTCTTCTTTTAGCGTTCTAAATGAGAAATTAATAAAATTATTAATGATTGCATTAAATTTTCTTTTCATGTACAGCATGAAATTATTGAATAGTTTACTGCTCCGAATTAGGTTAAGTTGTGACACTTACTGCATTGCTTCCATGGTAGAAACTTGAAGATATTTAGCACGTACACCACAATTTCCACCGTAAGTTCTATAATTTGGATCAGGAAAAAATGTGTCACCATGAAGAGTAAACGCTCTTTTGCAATTTTTTGGCACTTTTGTTGCATCCGACATTATCGCACAAGCCTCTTCATTTGTTGGTATAAGAAGAATACATTCAATTTCACGTTGATCAATTAAAGAATTAGCTACAACAGGATCTTCTATAACCATTGCTTCTAAGAGATTGGAATACTGTGGCGAATATGTACAGTGGCGTTTAACATCGTGCATCTAAAAATTTAAAAGATTTAAGCCCGATTGTATCAACATTACTTTGATTTTAAGCAAAGATTAAAATTTTTTTCTTTTTAAAACCGAGAGAAACAGAAAGGAAGAATTTTAAACGTCGCTTAAAATTAAAATAACATTGGTGCAATCTTAGTTATGCACATTATTCAAGTTAAAAGTAGTATTTTCAATTGCTACTTGTTACACTTGCTTGTTTTTCTCATTAAGAAGTAAATGGAAATGGTTATGTATTTACATACAGTATTTATTTCTATCATTCTTTCAATAAATACTTAAATTTCAAAATAATAAAGATTATGTTCTTTTACCTGATTAAAGAACTTGCTACATATTATTTGAAGAGTACTCTCGTTGTAGAAAATTTCCTTCATAATACTGTTCAATAACTTAGCATCCTGATTATTATCCACGCAGAACGAGTTAAGGGTGCCATAACCTAGAAAACTTTCTACAGCCGGTGCCCAAGCGGCATCCTTCAATTTTATGAAAGCACCTACACAATTACGTATATATTTATATATATATATAAAACTTAATAAAATAAAACTAAAACTAACTTCATACAATAGTTAATTAATTTCAAAATGACTACATACCAATAGGACCACGTGGTTTTTCCTTGAATCGGTTCTTCTTATATTCCTCCTCGATTCTCTTCAACAGACGCGGTATGTTTCGCCCAAATACACTCAGTGCATTATCGGATTGCTGCTCGACAGCACTTAAGTCCTTTTTGATCTTTTCTTTAATTTTATAAAATAAAATGCATTTTTTTACATAGCCTAATTATGGGAGTCACTAATATTATTACTAATTTGTCATTGATATGACTTACGTATATGTCTATCGAAATTGTCCATTTCATTTTTGGCGAATGTCACATCTTGCTGAAGTCGCATCTTATCAGCTTCTAAATGCATTAATTCAGTTTGCTTAGTGCGTAATGAAGCATCAAGTTCATCCAGTTTCTCCTCCAACTTTGATAGGTTCTCTTTCATTTCTTTTTTCTTGTTATATTCTTCATCATTGCAGCTGTAAAGACATATTTAACATATATTATAAACTTAAAAGAACATGAAAGTAGAATATTATTTGGAAATATATTCTTACCTTTCAAGCTTTTGAATTTCCTTCTTCACCAAATTAGCATCATCTTCTAACCGTTTTATTTTGCTTGTTACAGAACGCCATTCGCGCTGTTTACTTAAATACGCCTCATTTGCAGTCTTATGTTTCTGTTTTGCACTATCATAAGCTTCGTTGCTATCTGTTACTTCTTGTTCTGCTTGCTGAATTTTTTGCTTTATTTCTCTATAAAATAAAAACACGATCATAAGATATAATTTATAGCTTATATCTTATCTTCTCTATAAAATAAAAAAACATGAGATAAGACATAAGATAATTCACAGCTTTTGTAACAAATAATGTATACTATAAATGTTATAACTTCTGAAAGTAAATTATAATTCGATTTCATTTCATATAATATTTTCATTTATAAATTGATTCTTACTCGATATTTTTATCAATTCCTTCATCTTTTGATTCTGTAGATAATTCTATATTTTGGAGCTCTTTGAATTCATCTTCATGCATCTTTAAAGTCTCCTGTATTTTATTAAGTTTGGTTTCCTCCGCAATCGCCTAAATAACAAAACTATTATTCCAAAAATTACTTTGTCAATTTCTATTTTCTTCAAATTGAGACTCACCTTTGCCCAATGAAGTTCCATTTCAAGATTAGATAGTTCTGCTCGTGATTCATCCATTTCCTCTAATCTATGTATGCTTTCATTCAATTTTTCTATTTGTTTCTTTTCTTGTGACAAGGTCTGACACATAATAAAAAATGAAAATACTTATCTACAATAAGATTAAATAAATTAAGAATACATACTTCATTATATTGTTGTAACTTATTATATTCTTCTTCACATATGTTAAGAGCCTCTTTATAATTATTTTTAATGGAATCTAAGAGAGTAGCTTTCATGAATAGACTATACTTTTCATCAGGCTTAGAGGTAATTAAAAATGTTCTTGAAACATCCTGATTCAAGACAGATATTGGATTATCAATTTGTATATTCATCGTTGATATAATATTATCCAATTCATCTCGTTTGGTAGAAATAATTTCTCCTGCAAATGATAAATTTCTGTAAGTACATACAGATGTTACAATTATTTGGATCATTTAAAAAAAATTTATATTCCAAACTTCTATATTTTCAACTTCCAAGTACCTCTCCAATTTTTAATCTTATATGATGAGGTAGTTCCAATGGTACGCAAAACTGTAATTATGTCGCCATAAACTTCAGGCTTGAAAGCAGCGTCCCCTTTATTTACTAATGTTATCTCAATAGTAGCCGAGTTTCTGCCTTTTTTTATAAACTCTAAATTGTCATAGCAAGCAATATATTATTAAGTTATTCTACAATATATACAATATAAAAAAAAAGACAAATTGTAATATAATAACCTTTAACAGAAGTTCCCCTGCTTGTAACATTTGCTCTAGCACCGAGTCCTACAGTTAATGCAGTCAATATAGCACTCTTGCCACTGCCATTACGTCCCACAATAAAGTTAACATTCTTGTTTAGTGTTATTTCCAGTGCATCGTGACACATGAAGTTATGAACACGAATCTTTTTCACCTTTCCAACCATACACTATGACATATTAAACACGATATATTAAAAGTATTTCAGATATGTTTCAAGTTACAATAACTCTGAATAAAACTGATTGGCTTGTTTATACTAAAATCACATGTTTAATACAAGGTGGTGATTTTATGCTTTTAACTAGCTGGAATAATTGTTGGATGCTTTCCATTTAGTAACGTAAAAAAATAAGGCGATACAAAGATCATTTTACCTTTCTTGACAATCAATGAGTAACAAAGATAGAACAATACCTGTGTCGACAAATGGAAACGTCTAGAAACCTAGAATTTTATAACCTTAAAATAATCCACTCAAGGATTATTTTAAGTAAAATTTAATTAATGTTTCAAAGTTTAATGTCTAATTGATTTTATGCTTTTCGATTATTTGGGATAATTGTTGAGTGCTTTCTATTTAATGACACAAGTAGACACATGTGTCGTTCCGTCTTTGGCTCATCTTTTTTTTTTAGATGATTGACATAAACGTTCTGCTATCCTTCTTGGCATTCAATGAATAATAAGGATAGAATCCTTGGGTTGATTTATATCATCAAATGGAAAGCACCCTTTGTTACTCATTGAATGTCAAGATAGAATGACATTTGTGTCAACCTTCACTAAATGAAAAAAAATTTCGTTATCGACTAGCATGCAAAGTACCTCTTCATTCTGCACCGCATCATCCTCGATTTGTCTGGAACGTTTGGCCTGATGCTCGTCGGATTTCTCTGTTGTTTTCCTCCTTCGAGTCTTCGCGTCGTTTTCCATACTTCTCGTAATGTAAATCGATGGCGCATTTAAACAAAGAGCGACCGCAATCCCGCCGTTCAAATCCTATCTTGGCGACGCCTCTGTTGAAATACGGGCCGTTTTGCAAGATTCTGCCGTCTATCCGATCGATCTCCTGGACTTGTTGGAGTTTGTCAAGCGATTCGTCTGCTCTGTATACTTCGTACCCGTAATCTCTCGCACCGGACATAGAAATAATCAAAAATCGAAATCTATGTGAGCACCATTCCCATTTGTTTTATCAAGTTCCTGTTCATTCCTGTTCGTTGTTCGTTCCCGCCAGACCGTTGTAGATTATTCTCCCTTCTCTCACCTTTATTTAAACGATGTCCTTGAGCATACTCCATTCGACATTCCTAAACGCGTCTCGCAGTGGCCCGCGCGCTGATTGGTCGACTCCGCTCATGAATCTCGAACAATCTATGGTGCGTTCGGAAAGACTTTTACCTAATGCCTAAATCACACTGGACGCAGCAAGTGTCAAGCAGCGGAGCAGCTCCGCTAAGCGAATCCATGAGCGCTCGCTGCTATTGGTGTATTCTTTTAGATCATCCAATGAGCAGCGAGAGTTCACTGATCCGCTCCGCCACAGTTGAGTCTGCTGAACGCGACCAATGGGTGCATTCAGTACTACAACCGCTCACTGAGCGCTCAGTGAGCTTTTGTATCTGTTTGGTCTATATTTTTAGTTCTAACGGAATATGCCAATAAGATGCAAACGCTCAGTGAGTTCTTGCATCTTATTGGCATATTCCATTAGAGCCAAAAATATAGATCAAACAGGTACAAGAGCTCTCAGGTACACTGAGCGCTCAATGAGCGGTTATAGTTACTGAATGAACCCATTAGATCTAAAAATATACACCAATAATTATGCAGTTTATATCATTTTGTGAGTGGTGGCCTTAAGAAAATCAATCAATCAGTTTTATTTCATGTGAAGGAAGTAAATGAAGGACTCTAATTGGTTCAGCTTTGCAATTGTTGTAAAATTCTTTAATACAATTTATTGTTGCCTTAATTCTTCACTGAATCTAAATGTAAATTAATTTATTAATTATATTAAAAAATCTTTTACAATAGTTGCAAAGGTTCTTCTGTTAAATATACTACCAGTAATAGAGTTAAAAATATGAAGATTTAATAAATAATGTTATTTTATACATGGAGAAAACTCATAAAAATGAAGATTAATTGCAACTTTAATCAAATTTAAATTAACTTAAGCAATTAATTTAGCAATTAATTCAATTAAAAAGCAAAATTTGTAGGTATAAGTATAATTTATCGTTTCTAATTTAATCTTTTCTTGCATGAAAAATATATTCTTGTTAATATATAAATATACATTCTTATTAAAAAATAAATTATTCTCTTTATTTAAAAAAGAATTTAAAAATTCTATCATATTTGTAATATATTATATTCTTCTATTTAATTCCATGTTAATAAAATATATTAGTACAAAGTTAATTGATGTTTGGGGTCCAAGTATCGCTCCAAATTAAAAATACAGAGATTGAATGATTCAATTATTAAAGAGGGGATCCATTATAGGGGCTTCGCTTTCCGGTTGTTGGGGTCGGATTTGTGAGACGTGTAACGTAGTAGCACCTGTCGCACCACCTGTTACACCGCGTCATTACAACCGCGTTCCAACATTCCAGTCGAGCGCGGAGAAAACGATGAATACGCATGCGTACAGCACGTACAGATTCACTTCAAATCGTACGTCACGTATATATATATATATATATATATATGTATGTCTATCTCGCCGCCGCTTTCACTCACTCTCACTCCGCGTTCATGAACCCCACTCGGCGTCCGAAAACTACGTCACTGCGCAGTGTCGGACTGCCGGTTTTATTTTTATTGCGGCCCTTAAGGTCGCATAAATGTAACCTTGGGGTTGTATTCTGTATTTTGGAACAAGGTGAAAATTTCAAAAGTGAGTATATTTATAAGGTTATGAATAAAATTATAAATATTTCAATAATTCTAAAGAATAAATTCGTTCACTTTTATAATTTTTATCTCGTTTCAAGATACGAAATCGACTCCCCCTCCCCCTCTTTGTAATTTAAGTTATTAATGAATCCCTTTTTGGAATTTATACCAACTTTAATTTTATTTTATTCCCAAAAAATAAGTAATTTAGATACTTTAATTTGCTATAATTACGTCAGAATATGAGTTCCAAGCTGTGAATTACGTGAAGCAATAATGATTTGATTCCTGAAAAGCGAAAAGGTCACTTATAGCAGATTTGTATCGTGATTTAGGGCCACTTTCACCAACTCCGATTAACTTAATCGCCGATTAGTCCATTGGAATTGACCAATCGCATTTGTCATTTTGTTTGACTACAGATGAAATTAATCGGAGTTGGTGAAAGTGGCCCTTACAAGTGGAATAGGACGATTCAGACTATTCTTTCAATTTTTTTTATAAACGGAGCAACAGATTAAATTAATTGCCTCATCCATTCTAGACAAACTTACGTTGTGACACGTGGCGCATCATGTTGATATTTCGAGAATAAAGCATGGTGAAAGTATTACTTCCATCATGGAATAAAGCAGAGTCACGAGAATCGGAGTAATGGAGGAGTCATATAGAATTTCAGCCTCGTAGAAAAGCCTCGACATCGAGCCTACTACTCCTCGTGAATAAATCCGCTCCTGGTTGCTTCTGGTCGAGTTGCATCTCCTCCCACCATACGCAGCCCCCGCGTATTGGTTGCAGTCCCTTTAAAATTTGAATCTCTGTCAGTTATTGAGTCTGTCGCAACTGTACTCCGTGCGGGCAGTGCAATTGCGTATCCGTCTTGATTTGGTAAGTTTGGGCAATCGCGTCTGAGGCGAACTTGTGAATCCAGGACCACACCAGGACCGCGACGACGATCGGTGCAGGCGAGTCACCTGTTGATTCCCACGAAGATCGTGGCGTGAGGTAAGTTCGAGGGACAACATCCTTGAACAAACGAAGGGAAGGAAGACTGGGTTTTTTCGCGACTTTGGAGCGCGTTCAAAATCCTACCCGAATGCTCTCCAGGTATCACCTTATCGTTGTTTAACATTCAGCGAACAACAAGAATAAAATGATACCTGAGTAGCACTCAAGTGAGGGAATTTAAACATAGCTCTGATCGATCTCATTGTAGTGCGGATCAATATCCGGCTGCGAGCAATGTCGGAGACGAGCGGAGACAATGCCAAGTACAAGTGGACGCCCGAGAGTACCACGTTACTAGTCTCGGTGTGGTCCGACCGGCAGGTGCAGAAGCAGCTCGAATATGCTCCCCGGCCGCAGGTGATCTGGGAAAGCGTAGCCCGTTACATGAAGAAGAAGGGTTACAATGTCGCGGGTAAGCAATGCCGGTCGCGTATGAAGCAAGTCCTGGTGTGCTATCGTGAAGCCAAGCGGGCGGGTACCAATGATTGCGTGGAACAGTACTATGAGACCGTCGACCGTGTGCTGAAGAACAAGCGTCTGGAGCATATCAATATCAATGGTGTGGATACCGTGGGTGAGTACAGGAATTCTGGTTGTAGAACAGTTTGATTCAAAACTCTGAAATATATCAAATATTTAATAACGTTTTCTGCCTAAACAGGTTTGTATCAATCTAGGTTGGATTAATGATGTATGCTGTTAAGACCCATCTACAATACAGTAGTAAGCTTGGTTTAAGAAGTAAGAGTAAGAAATAAAATTAATTTATTTTGCTTACACCTACATCTATACCTATTCTAAACTCTTACTTCTTAAACCAAGCTTACTACGTGTATTGTAGACGGGCCTTTATTGATAGAGCATATAATATGCATAAGGAGCAAGTTAATATTACTTCTGATTGTTATTAGACTCAACTGTGAAGTCACCACCAAAGGATGTAAAGACTAACAAGAATCTACAGATGAGACTGAAAGTTCAGGAGCCTGTGCAGTCTCTCTTTCGAACGAACGCTCTGTCCCCTACGTGGGTGATGGGATGTAAGGCATTTTATTTTACCGTGGAGAATCTTATCTATCTAATGTCAGATGTCATGATTTTTTTTCTTTGCAGATGAAAATGAATATCCAGAGTCACCTGAATCAAACGAGACCATAATAGCCAAGCCCTACAGAGTTTTTTCTCCTACGAGAGACGTTGCCATAAACACTGGCGAGCGTTTCACTCAAATTGGCAATCAAGCGGTACAGACAAACCCAATTATAATAGAAAAGCCGGTACGAGAAGACTATCAGCAAAATTTACTAGCGCCTTTTCCATATGGAGAAGTTCCTTATCAGAACGCAGTGCAGAATGTACAGAATCAAATTATTCAGGAGAACATGCAGCAATATCAGAATATTCAGCAACAAAATTATACCGGATGGAATCAATTACCACAGCAGAATGTACTGACGAACAATCGACTCGGTTTTCAGCAGAACGTGCGCAATCAACCATACGTGCCGAATGGAACAACGCAGAACAATTTGATGCAGCATCCTAATGTAGAGAATATCGTACGCCAGCAAAATCAGCTGCATCGAAGTGCACCATATGCAAATAATCAAGCGATGCCGCAGGAGCCGCGAAAGGTTATTTACGCACAAAACCTGACTACATATAGGCAATATCAAGATGCGGAACCGCGTCTTACTTGCATGACGAACGTTATTCCAAACGGATCGTCACCGGACTATTCCCCGGACGTTTCTCAGAATTTAAATGATGCTTTCTGCGAGTCGAAAAGCGATGACAAGACACATAACTTAAATGAGACATACAACCGACCCAATAATCCTACGGCGGATGCAACTGTTGTGACGAACAATGCGACTTGTAACGACGACACTTTGCTGCTGGAATTGTTGTTGGATTCACCTATTCCATCAGAGAATTGTGTAAAATCGCGAGATAGTGCTGTGAATACAGATACCGAGCTAGTAATACCGAGTGCACCATTCAGGAAGAAGAAAGCACAGAAATTGGAGCAGCTTGTACTCAATGCGATTAATTCTCAAAATGAAGTCGTCAATAAGGTAGAGTATTGTATGCTTATAATGTTTTTTTTTTATTAAACTTTATTATACTTGTTTTATTTTTTCTTCTCTTTTACTTTTTATTTATATAACATTTTATATTTTTAAATAATATAGCTTTTATGTTATTTCAATTTTTCAGATCTTGGCTGCGCAGAATGACATGGTGACGCGATTTCTCGACGTTGATAGAGACCGGCAGAACAGGCTCGAGAATAGATTGGATGATTTATTGAACGTTGTTCATGCTACGGTACTCAATAAGAACGAAACGCCCCCATCACCGCCACCGCC